CCGGCATCGTCAGTGAGTATCGCCATTCTTAGCACCACACAACAACTCGTCAAAGAGACAAGTGAAGCCATTCCTTTGACGAGTTGTTGTGTGGTGCTAAGAATGGCGATACTCACTGACGATGCCGGCGAAACGTCTAAGATTGTACCACGTCCACGATCCTTTTTTGGAAATGATGATGCATACAATGGACCCCGGACGAGGTGCGTTCCAATGAGTCTTCCTACCAACATGAAAATGTTGCGAAAACAAGGTCAAACAACCTCTATTCATTTTTTCAGCTTGGACAATGCATACTTTGTGCATACGAAGATGAGCAAGACTTTAATGAATCTTTTGACATAAATAACGATGTTGCGCAGACTTTCAGTTCGCACTAAAAGCATTCCTGATGAGGGGAATCCGTAGGTCGAGTTCAGCATTATCATTTCTGGAAAGGTAGTAATCTGCCAAGCTGAGAGAACTTTTTATCTTCATTAACAAACTGGCTAAGTCATCGAATTCCGGCGAGATAATTCCAACAGTGTCTTCATTCTGCACTTTCATATTTTCATGCAACCATTTTGTCTGTCAAAAATTCATCATTTCTCGGTTTGATTCTTGCGAAACGGCACACTTTGAGAACTTCCACCGTGCGAATGTGTACATTGGAAGAGTGGAGACTTTCATTTCGTTGACAAATGGGTTTGATGAAAGGATTCTGAACTCGATCTCACCGGAAGACGTCTGATTCGCATCATTCTGCAGCTATCCGGCTGCGCAGCTTATCTGCTCTTTCCATCTACAAGATACGTATTATTCATCATTTTATCATTTATCTTCTCCCTACACATAAACTAAAAAAACTGAGTATATACACAGAATAAATGGATTTCGAAGAACCTCTCAATATGAAAAGATTAATAGGTCGATCAAACCAGATGACGTTGACTCAGCACTTGAACAGGATTACATTTTCGCAAAAAATTGTAGGTTCAAACGCAAGCCTTTTCTTCAAAAGTATGCATTTTGATGACCTTCACATGCACACTTTCGTGCGTTAGCTTGCCACATGTGTTGGTGCGCTGGTAGGATCGAATGGTATACCTTCTTATCGGGAAATTCGTTTTAATACGCTTGTTGGTGTCATATTTCCGCGTTTTGATGACCTCTACTTGAGACGATACCAGCCGTAGTCACGACTTTTAGAAACGATGCTTATTTGCTCCTGTTTACACGAAACTAAAAGAATAAAAATTTCAAAACAGAGTTTCCAGCATGTTTGTACTTAATTTGCTGTCTTCTCGTCGGATGGATCTCCATGCAAAAAGGTCATTTTTGCGCCGACGGGACTCGGTCCTTGCGATGCAAAGTTGCCCAAGCCCCATTCAATCCGGGGTTGGCTGAGTTGTCTGAGAGACTCAGTTAAAGAAGGGCCGAGTGAAAGAAAACCCCTTCAAGTCAACCTCGGTGCACTTGATCCCATGTCCACGGTATCTGCTTCTTGTGATATGTGATTTTGCCCATTCCCATTCAGCAAATTGATTGAGATTCCCTTCCACGTCTTGTCCACGGCAAGAAAAGTAGGGCAGATGGATGTATGAAAAAATGAATAAAGAAATAAATACATACATTGAAGAATGGAAGAACTGATCGGTAGATAGGACGAAGAAATGGGTAGATAAATAAAGTGATGGGCTGGATGAGTGATAGATGAACAGATTGATGGATGAATGGATGTGTCCATAAGTGGATGCAACGGTTGAGGGGATGGACACTTTGGAAGGTGATTTCGTTGCGACACGGACTCGAGTCTGGTGCCGTTAGTCAGAGTTCTCCCGAGTACCTTCTGGTCAGCCCAGAGACCGACTTCCGTGTCGAGTCGCTAGGGCGCATACCGCCACATTCATATACACTTTCACCAGACTGGCACACTCGGTTCGTTGTGTGCATGCTGCCACTTTGGCTGGAGCCCTCTTTAGCAACAGCATTTCAGACACACACACACACACACACACAGACGAGGCCCAGCGTGTGAGAACACGATGGGCGAACGCAACTTTGCATTCTCCAAAGCCTCGGCCAATTCATACCCTCACGACCATGCCCACGGGTCAGCATTCTACGCCCACACCAGTTCACACTACGCCTAGGGCAGACGGACTCACACGTCGGTCTGTCGGCAGCCGTGTGCGCTTGTCTGCTCTGGTGTGTGGCCAAGCGTGTGTGTTGGTTGTGCTCGCCAGCCCGACCAGACGAGCAGACTTGGTTGGGCAGACGTTAAAGGATGGCATGGGCTGAGAACACAAATCACCTCCTCTCAAACCCCCTTTCTGGGTCAGTATGTGCATGTGTGTGTGTGTGTGTGTGTTGGTACCTTATTCTAATGTGCCTTTGAGCAGAGGTCGTGAAGAGAGAAGGTGAGAGCGCCCAATTGTGGAGGGAGATGGCGACCGTCGCGAGGGTCAGTTTGGCGGCTGCTTCTGCGTCTGCTTTCACTTTGTGCCCTCTCGACTGGCTTTCTCACGTCAACTTTATCTTCTCAACTCGAGCCGACCACAGACTACCGCCCCCTCTCGTCCGGTCAATCGGCCTAGTTACTAACTTGCTCCCCTCCTCCGTCCCACGGACTTCATCAGTCGCCGTCTCGAGGCGCATCTGCTCCCCTCGTCGACTTTTCCGCCAACTTTCCCAGAGCCATTTGCCCGGCCGGCCTGCTTTTACTGCCGCGGCAGACGTAACCTCGAGACTGGCAAGAGAAGCGACAAAGAGACACAAACCGACGGCGAGAGAGAGAGAGATAGATAGAGAGAGAGAGAGAGAGAATTGAGAACGGAATGGTGAAAGTGAAACGCCGGGAGACGAGTGCGGAGGCGACGATGAGAGCGCGGATGGCGAGTTCGAGTCCCGTCGGCAAAGTGGCAAAGTTGATCGGTTCTCGTGCCAGTTGACAACCGGCCTCGGAGACGAGAGGGCGAGGCAGGCCCGACGACCGACCGACCGGCCCGGCCAATTATACAGAATCACCTCCCGCCTTGTCGCCGCTGACAACATTTGTTATGCATGCCGGTTCCGTTTTGTCCGGTTGTCTGTCTGAAAGTGGAGATTCGACTGCTTATCTTTCCCGCAGTCTCTGACTGCCCGGCACATCTACACGTGGCAACCGGTCGGTGAGGCGAGTTGAAGATCGAACAGCCGGACAAATTTATGCTGTCCTCACGACGGAACAAGAAGCAATCAGTCTCTCTCTCTCCGGCTCACACACACACACCGGTTGTCGTGATTGTCTTGGTGGCCGAGTCGTCGAGGCCGCGGTGTCGGCGCGAAACTGGCGCCAGCTTTGCTGAAGATG